TATTGGAAGGTAGGGACTGTTTCCAGGTAACTTTTATAAAGTTGATTTAAGCAGGGATTGCACTTTGGTGAGTGTGCTCATCTCCCACAACTGTGGTCTGGGTTTTTGGGTTTGATCATCCTATCTTGCGTCGCATTTCGATTCAGTTTGATCCCGCTTATCTTACGTGATCCGAAGGATTTTATATCAGGTCAAAAGCTTTTCTGGCATTCTCCCTAACAAGCAACAAGTCAAATGCCACACCATCCGTTCCTCAAATTATCAGTTATGCATGTACGGTTACACAAACACTTGGTAAGATATAATATTTGCCATTTTACTATGTCAATACAGTGGGGCTACCAAATAAGGAAGCTTATCAATGGGATATCCATATTGTTGTACTCAAACTGAGACATTTCCTATATACAGATATCCTACACTTTACACTTAAGGACTCTCTAAAGGGCTTCTGGGCATCAATTACCTCCATTTTATTTCTTTGATTCTTTTATTATATCAGATTATATTATATCCAGACTCGATGACAAAGATATTGGCCTTTATTTCTGTGGACTGAATAAAACACGTCTTTAAATCACTTAATCGTGGTTTTAGTCTAATCGTATTTATTTTATAACTTATCTTTGAAACTGATGGATACAACCTTGAAGTAAACGTGGCCTCAAAAGACGTAATGAATAAAATCTGATTCACACGCTCTTGTGCAAAATGGGGAGGGGGGGAAGGGTCTCGTCTCACTTCGTTCCCTTTTACGACTCTTTTCTTCGATAAATACAATAAACCCAGTATCCAATTTAGCCGCTAAACGGCTAGTACATTAATTAAAGCCAGCTAAAGTTCCAGAGGTTCCCTCTAGAGGTCCATTTTTAGCTGAAAGAAATACGCTATTTTTTAAGAAAGGAATACAAAACACTTCTACTTTCGATTCTACTATTTTCATTTTAATACAGGATTGCTTTCAAATATTTTCAAATCTATAACGTTAATGCTTTATGTCAAGAAAGTTTCGCTTATGTTCAATATGCGCAGCTCAAATATCGGAAAATACTAGGGGTTAGTGATTTGACATACTGAAGACGTTAGCAACAAAGTTGAACTAGCGCATTTTTGAATGGCTGAAAACCTATCAAATATTCCAATCAAAATGTACACCGGCCAAGCCATGAATGTGCGCAGAAATCGAATAATGAATAACATAACTTTTTCGATAGAGAATGTAATTGAGTCTGAAATGCTTCTCTGTTTTGCGCGCTTTTGAAGAATTTTCTGCGATGTTGATTCGGCTGCAAAACATCTGTGTTGTTTCAGGTCGACGTCATATCAATATCACAGTAAACATTTCAGGAAAAATCTAATCTCAACGCTTGCATTCGTTCTTGTGTCACAGTTAAAGAAATTTACACAGTGTTGCTAATTAAACAAAATGTTGTGTTCTATCAGCTTCCCTTAACACCAAAATGAACGAATGGTGAAGACATTATATTTGTGCATCATAATCAAGAGTACCAAGAAGTGTTTTGAACACCTCAGGGCACACAGAGGAGACAACAATTATAAATAACAATGAAAAATCTAGATACGTAGATCTATCGGTAAAATTGGATCATGCGCGAGCTTGCATAAACAACTGAATCTGATAGAAGAAAGAAAAAAAGCGCTTCGCATGCATACGTCAATGAAGGAAATAAAGATTTCTTCATGGAAAGTGTTAACGTACTATATTTACGCACGAGTTTATATTCAAACCAAACGAGTGCGTAAATATCGTACCAAAGCACTTCCCATTCTGAAGTTTGTCTACTATATACAAATTAAGATTTACTTACAGTTTTCTTCATTGCAGACCAAAATGCAGTAAATTGAAGAGCCAAAGTATGTTTTTCAATGCTTCTCCGTTTGAAATTTACAGGAAGCCTTTTTTTCGAAGAGGAAACTCATCTCATCATCGCTAAGGGCTTCTGCTGCATTAGGTCTATTACCTTTGCCTCCTTTTGAAGTTGCTTTTTTGCACGTTCAAAAGCAACGTCTTCGATGACACTGACGGGATATTTGCATTCTTTCAAAGCTCGATTAAAATTAAAAAACAGACCTCTTATACTTGAAGGGTCATCAAAGGCTACCGAGTAATTTCTGGATCTTTTTCGCACCAGAGGTAGTATTTGGTTTAATATGTCTTCGCGGTCGGTTACCTCAGGTTACACTAAAGTGTCAGACTTACATAACAAATTTCAATATTGATGAAAAATAACTCTTTATTCCTTGATAAACTAGTCTCATAGAACACGATCACGCAATACGGAAATCAGTGTCATAAAAGGGTAAAAAATGCACCGTGCATCAATGCGCATGGGCCAGAGCTAGAGGAGGACTTCGTCATGAGCGGATTTCTCTTTACCGTTGTGTATGGATCGACTCTTGCTACAGCCTTAACATTTACCTTTACTGATTATGGAGATGAGAAGAACATAGCAGTCTCCAAAGAATCTAAGCGTGACATTGACCCGGAATTTGAAAGTGTTTCAAGGTACTTAATTTAAAAGAAAAATTTACTCTAAAACTCGATTGTTTTATCGCCACCAGATAAGAACAGTAGTACAAGAAAGATAAACTTCAATTTAAACATTTTAAAACGGGTAGAACCCTTTCAGCTCGATCGAATTTGATATCATCCGGAGTGAAAAAAATGAGTTCTGAGAAGGCTATACAATAACTTGGGAATTAAAATAATTGAACTTCATCAACAACTTAGCAATACTTGGGATCTTAAAGAGAAAAAAATTAATAGTTTATATACTACTGTTCACTAAAATGGAGCAATTCATGTTTGTCTTCAATATATACAGTCATTTTGAGAATTAGACAACTATACAAATCGCAGAGAGAAATTTTCGCACCGTTGTGGAGTACTTTTCTCACGAGCTCTGTCTTTTCTCTTTTCCATTATAGTAAACAGCTGGTTTCGCTACTTTTCGAGTTCGCAAATTTCGAATGCGATACACTTTCGCTACCTTGAACATCGTGTTCACTACATCGGTAAAGTCATCAGTTCGATACCTGTTTGAATTACAACAAAGAGACATTGACAAAGTCGATTGGATACTTTCAACACGGAAGTTCCTTAACACGAGCCACGATCTATTCTAAAACAACAATAATGACGCCTTTGCTGAATATGATGATTTTTTCTATGGACTAAACTAAGCTTTTGCTTTTTAAAACGTATACAATCTCCCATTACTTTTGTCGGTAATATTTAAATTAACATAAATCTCGTTTATTCTTTAAGTTTACGTTTCAGTCTAGAACGCAAGAATAATAGTTAACTACATTTACATTTTTACATTTATATAGCGCAGACTTCCCCCATGATGTGGATATATTCAGTCGCGCTTAACAGTTGAGATCGGACGTCAGCATTTTTATCAGACGCCTCTGGCAGCCGCTTCAGTCTATTTGTTAATTTTATTTTCATTCGTACCCTTGATAATGGCGTCATGAAGTCGCCGAAACGTCGGGATATTATATCGTTCGTTTTTACCTGTCTATGTATTACTAAATCTTTGTTAATAAGAATAAAAAGGATAAGAGAATATCTTGCAAGGTATAATAGGAGTAGTCCACTTTTAGACTGACGCGGAGCCTTTAAAATATTCAAGCAGTAATAGTTGCGATAGAGTATAGTAGTATCAAGAATCAAGATAACTTTCATGATAATAAATATTCCGTGAAATGTAAATCATAGAGACCATGATTTTCGCGTCAGTAAAGTACGTTTTTCATCATAATTACATGGAAAAACCCCATTTATTTATCTTATATTTCATCTCTTGTCAACTAGCATCAAAGTACAGGTTTTGAGTAGCTCCGCAGAGCTTTCGCGACTCAAATAAGTATATATTGTCTCTCTTTCGTCGTCGATATCGTGTGTATTTGTCTATTAA